GGTCAATGTCATGAGACAAAGTGTATATGATCTGCTGTATGGAAAGTGTATTTGCTCTGTAAATTTTCACCCAAATCACAATTTTTTTAAAAAAACCTGATGTTAGGAAATAATATAAGTACGGTCTTTAGAGATATGTTATTTAATGAGATTCAGGAATAACTTACATATAAGATGTAAGAGCCAGTTGGCCTGTATGCTGCCTGTCTCTTAAAACAGTTATCTTGGGGCAAAAATTTAGTAAGGAAAGCGGGATTACAGAACCAAAATAGGCCAAAAACTATACTAATCTACATTACTCTCCTGATGCCATCAAGGTTTGCCTTTTTTTTCTGTCTTACTCAAAACCACCTTTAATTACCATATTTAGCACCCTAACCAAAAACAGACTCACTGCCACTGAACTGATTCCAATTCATAGTGAGAACCTATAGGACAGAGTAGAACTGACTCATAGGTTTTCTAAGGCTGTAAATCTTTACAGAAGCAGACTGCCTCATCTTTCTCCTGCAGAGTGGCTAGTGGGTTTGAACCAACAACCTTTTGTTTAGCTGAATGCCTTAACCAGTGTGCCACCAGAGCTCCTTATTCAGGGCCCTAAAGGAGGAGAAAAGGTAACCTGTCACTTATGTGTTGTTGCTCAAAATTTTAAGCCATTTCAACCGCTTTTTGTTTAGATTGGGAGTGTCTCAAGTTGGAAGAACATGTGCAATGTAGGAATTCCACTCTTCTGGACAGTAGTAAAGCAGTAGCAATAGAGAAGGCATCGCAGTTTTCAAACCTCTCTGCCATTTTAGGTGAGTTTCACATTCTTTTTTCTTATGTCATCTATGTTGGAAAAACAAAGTTTATTTTTTCCCTTGAATGGTTCCTAAGGTAAAATCAATTAGGATTGTCTTTGGTTACAAATAATATCTGACTTGTTGTTGTTGTTATGTGCCGTCGAGTCAGCCCTGACTCATAGCGACCCCTCCTTGGGTTTCCGAGGCAGTATCACTACGGAAGTAGGAT